GTAAAGTAAAATCCAGAGCCCTTGAATACTTTGATTCAATGATATTCTGGTTGTAGAAGGTGTGTTTGCTTGCATTTTATGCTGTGATAGAGAAGCCCTTTGTAAACGTGTTCTATTGTTTACTACTAGTTAAAAATTTGCTTTTACAGTTCTTTCAGAGTCCATAGGACAACTTTCACAGTTACTTCTTCTACACAGAGTCAGTATAGAGATCCTTGGGTTATTGCTCCTGGGGGCAGATTATTGCTATTTGATATGGGTGAGGGATATGGATATGCATCAAATCTTGGATCCTGTTGTACTTCTTTCCTCTCAAACTCCTCTTCCCACTCACACTCTGTTTGCATCCGGTCCTGATGGAGTGTAACTGTGTGCTGATCGGGTGGGGGATGCTAAAGTTGACATCCATACTGAGGTGTGAATGTGGCTGTTCATGCATAAGGGAACATTATGTAAACCTATTGGCTCCCTTTTCTAGTCTGGACTATAGGAAAGATGGGATGTTTTTTTTACAGAATTAACACTAAGAATTTGTTCTTATTTAGCCCCCCCCCCCCCCCCCCCCCCCCAACTATTAATGAGAAGCAAATGGCTGCATAAATTCATTATGAATGCTGCGATTTTTATTTATTTATTTTGGTCCCTACTTGCATAAATTAGACTTCAAGTGTTTGAGGCCATTCTTTGATCTAACCCCTTGTCTGAAACAGACTTTGGGAAGTTTGCTGTCCAGGTGGCCGCAATTCACATGTTCCCTGGCACTTGTCCAGGATCAGATGTTCATGATAATTTGTCGTCTCAGCCCACATGCTACTGGCCTTTTATATTAGATAAAGCAGATCCCCTGCCAGCACAACTTTAATTATTTACAGTCACAGTATTAGCAGAACAACTTATGCTTGAACAGAAAATATAGCTATTTTTAAAACATGTGGCTAGAGTCCTCATTTGGACGATGAAATAAAATGACTACAGCACGCAAGCGTATTTTCTGACACTCTTTCTGTGTGTCTTCTTTGTGTCAGTGTCTGATATTTTTTGCTTATGCAATGACATTTGAAAGTAGGCATTCATCATTGTTTTTTGTTTTAAAAATAATTTGGCTGGTAAAAATGAAGTACTTGTTCACAATATCAAGAGTTTATGATTAATCCCAGAGATGAATCGCCTGTCTGTCTGGCAAGTAGTGCTTTCTGTTGTGGTTGTAGAGTGGTCATTTTTTTTTTATTTTTTTTTTATTTTTTTTTAGATATTAATGTTAATGTGCACAATTGTACATAAATACAAGGGGACTAAACAAAGACATGTACATTTGGACTATGCGTCAAATATGGTAATTTGATATTGGTTACATACATTAAATTGAAAGTACACTGAAAACCACTGTCAGCTGTGTATTATATATGAGTTTTCTGAAGAATTATAGTGCTGTAAGACTAAGTATCTGACAGCCCGAGGTAGTTTCACTTCTGCTATTATTGAGTATCCAACCCAACGCCCAGTTGAAGTGATTGATTGGTGAGTGTGTACTACTTTGAAATGAGAGCACTGTGATTCCAGCAGGAAACTAAATCTGTATGCCAGGTTTCCAATAATCAGTTAAATTCACTAGTTATCCAACGTATGAGTACAGTATAAAAATAAGTTGACTAAGCTCCTCCATAGAGAATCATAGAACCTGCTGATTTTAAAAATTACAACACTTGATATTGGCATCATATTGGTAGTAATACAGTATGTTGTCGTTGATAATTTGTTTCACTCCTACATCAAAGAATGGCATATTACAGTATGCAGCTTGTTTAACGGCAGATAAGCTTAACAGAAAAGGTATTACATAAATCTCCTCTATCTTGTGATACAGTTTGTGAAAACCGAGCTAAAGTCCAAAAGGTTTCATGGTTTACTTTTTTTTATGTTTCTGAAAATGTCAAAACTTCTAGATCCATCCATCCATCCATCTTCATCCGCTTATCCGAGGTCGGGTCGCGGGGGTAGCAGCCTAAGCAAAGAGGTCCAGACCTCCCTCTCCCCAGCCACCTCCTCCAGCTTGTCCGGGGGAATACCAAGGCGTTCCCAGGCCAGCCGAGAGATATAATCTCTCCAGCGTGTCCTGGGTCTGCCCCGGGGCCTCCTCCCGGTGGGACATGCCTGGAACACCTCGCCCAGGAGGCGCCCAGGGGGCATCCTTGCCAGATGCCCGAACCACCTCAGCTGGCTCCTTTCGATGTGGAGCAGCAGCTGCTCTACTCTAAGCCCCTCCCGGATGGCCGAACTTCTCACCCTATCTCTAAGGGAGAGGCCAGCCACCCTTCGGAGGAAGCTCATTTCCGCCGCTTGTATCCGCGATCTCGTTCTTTCGGTCACTACCCACAGCTCGTGGCCATAGGTGAGGGTAGGGACGTAGATCGACCGGTAAATTGAGAGCTTCGCTTTTACACTCAGCTCCCTCTTCACCACGACTGACCGGTGCAGCGTCCGCATTACTGCAGCCGCAGCCCCAATCCGTCTGTCGATCTCCAGCTCCCTTCTCCCATCACTCGCGAACAAGACCCCGAGATACTTGAACTCCTCCACTTGGGGCAGGAACTCATCCCCGACCCGGAGTGGGCACTCCACCCTTTTCCGGCTGAGAACCATGGCCTCAGATTTGGAGGTGCTGATCCTCATTCCCGCTGCGTTACACTCGGCTGCGAACCGCTCCAATGATCCACTTCTAGATCATTAAGCATAAAATATTTCATTGATCTACTATTAATTTTTAACTTAAAGATCACAAGCCATGTTTATTCTTCAAATTATTGTCGTTTAGCAATGATGCATTGGGATAAATACCCATAGCATGTTTGTTAATGGTTAAACCTAAAAACTCTGTTAGGTTTCTGAGAAACCACGCATCAATCACAATCCAGGCCAAAGATGGAAAAGTTGCCGACGTCATTAAGAAGGCAGATTTAGTTGGTTGACCAGTTGCTGGGTGACTGGGGGTTTGCTTTATGAGGTGTTGTTTGTTTGCAGTTCATACATCAAAAACTGTTCCGTAAGCTACATTTTTCTGACATACTGTTCGATTAAGATGAGATACAAGTTAAGATTGGACATAATGTAAAGGCTCATTGTTCTTGATTGAGAATCCCAGCTGCACACAAAAAAATGCCACAGTCTATCAGTATATTTGGCTTTTTGCATGTGCAATACCTTTTTTCTATTGGTTACAAATGGAAATGTCAAAATATGAAATGGGGAAAGAAGCAGTTAACAACTGTCTCTTATATTTTGACAACTGTTAAAGTAGTAACTAAAGCCACTAAGGCTCTCCAAATCATTTTGGCTCTGAATTTAAAAGTTTTCACAAACTCTTGACATTACACATCCTCGTCATGTTGTTAAAGCTCTCAGTGGAAAGCCTAACCTTTTAACATGGGAAAGAAAATATTCAGGTATACAAACAATATAGATATAATTTAAATGGTCAACAGTTTGTTTATTGTAATAGGGTTAATTATTTACAGTCAACAGAGTCAGGCTAATCTCTCTATAGTGAGATGGGAATATCCTTGAAGATAAGAAAGATGTGAATTGGAAGCAAGTATTGTTGTAGGTCTGGCTAATGCATTGTACTGGCTTTGTTTCCAGCCCTTGTAGCTGTCCACCTAATGGCTTGGCCAATACTTTTAGGTCACACTTGGCATTCTGGGGACAAAAAAATTGAGATTGGACTCTGTTTTGATTTTGGATAGACCAATTTCCTTTTCAGTGATAATGAATCATCACTCTTGGCACTGATCTTTTCTGTATTTAACGGAATGGATATTGGCTAGATATTTACTTGAACAATAATAAAGTTGCAAAATCAGTTCTGTAACTCTCTAGGGAACAGTGTAGTGACATATTTAACAAACCTTAAATAAAATAATGTTCACTGTGTGTGGGAGATGTGTAGTCATGGTCTTCTCTTTTTTTCCACACAGAAGAATAAACCGTTGTCCTACCTGACAATTTATCACTTTGATTTCTCATGTGAGTTTCCTTTTTTGGGTTGGTATTTACAGTTGCTCTTGAGATTTATGTAAGGTGAGCACCATGGAAGTTATGACAACAACCTGGCTTCTGTGCATTGTTTGATTTACCTTATGTGCCTTTATCATTTTGGCAGGACACAGTATACCTCTGGTTTCTGAACAGGTTCCTCAAATGTTTTCTCTTTCAAATATTAAATTAACACACACATCCACATTAGAGTGCATACTGCATTAGAACAAAAATCCAAAAATCTAAGCTGTATATAAAAGATGCAACATCCCCCAAGTGTCAAGTTTGGCATTTGAAAATTTGGAAATCCACTTATTTTTCCTTTTTTTTCTTGCTTTATCTGCTAAAGTTTGAAATGTCTAGCTACCTAGTTTATAAGTTGCTTCACTCACTTTGATATTAAACGGATTGCTATTGGTAACAACTGGACCCAATGGAGTTGTGTGGATATATGAGAAAATGCAGGTTTTGGCCTCTCTGTTTTCACTTGATTAATTTTCTTAACTTTTTTTTTTTTTTAACTGTATTGAACATTTTGACACTATGACAGACATAACAGAAAGTGCACATGCATTTATATAATCTGAAAATAAATTTCACCTTATTTTGAAATCTCTTGAAGATTCTGGCCCTTATTGAATTTTTATCTAGCCATTTTACAATATATTGTCCAGTGCCCAACAGTTTTCCACTTTTCAAATCTTCATTTTCTGATTCACAGTTGAAACTTTAATCTCATAATTATATGGCTGGAATTTAGGCATAATTAGACTGCCTCTGTCTGCAACTATTAAAGAATATGCAATTTTTTTTAAATTTGTATTAGATCATGGGTAAAATTTGGACTTTTTTTCTCCCAACAAATTCATGACTGTTGTATGGTGCAGGAAGAAGAGTGAATTACTAACATGTCCTGTTCCTTTTTTTTCTCTCCTCTATTTATCTTAACCCCCATCCCTCCTCTCTAGTTTGGTGGTGAGGACAGAAGAGTAGGCAGTAGGACTATCTATGTTGGTCATCGGCCGTGTCCTGCCAATGAAGTTTTCATCCCACCCAAGTTCTGTGATAACAGGATTGTGTCCTCGAAGGTAAAAACATTACACTCCCATGCATTTGCCAGGGCTCCAGTCTGGCAATGCACCAAGACTTTTGTTTGTTCCTAAGCTTGTGTTATGTTTTATCTACCTGTAGGCAGTTTTTTTATTTAACACTTGCAAAATGAACTCTTGAACAGTCATCAGCATTCCAGTGGCTTCCTTCCTTTGTTTCCTGTTCCGACTGCTTCTCCTCATACTTGTCTTGGCTCCCAATGGAAGGCGATTATTTGTCTGTCAGTGAAGCACAGACTGTGGCAAGGAAATACATGGCTGCTATTAATGTACTGGAACGGTGGGCAATTCAGGCTTCCCCTGGGCTCTGACTACAACCCCCCTTCTTCACCACCCAAGTCTTACTCTACCTGTTAGTTCTGTGTCAACAGCAGGCTTGGGAAAGTACTGACTGACTGGCTTTGAATATCTAAAGTGAAAGTGATCAGGGGAAGCAAGTGAAGTGATAATAAAATGGCGCTAGGATTTATAGTGATGCAGCGCATCTCAGCGAGGAAGGGTCAATCTATTGGTTTCTGCCAGTATGTCAGGGTAAGCAATCTTTAATTACCCCAGCTGCAGTGTTTATTCTCCCTTGTGCCTCTGCTCTTCCTGTTTCTTTCCAGCAGTGTCCAATCTCTGCCTCTTCTCTCATGTTCTCATTGCACCTGCACCCTCCAACCTCTCTTTCTCGTTGCTTTCACCCTCTTTACTTCTTAGCGAAATGAGATATCCATTCTGCTCGTGTGGCATTTCAACACTATCCCCATGCACTCCACAAAAAAGGGCTTTATTCTTGTTTCTGTGCAAAGCTGTGTAGACGTGCTTTGTTATTGACACAAGGTTACCAGCGGGGTATCGTTGAGAGGTCTCTCAGGGAGTTTTGCAGATAAGTGTTGCTTCAGCGCCGATGATATCAACAGTCATGGCCACTTAAAAAAAAAAAAAGAAAACACAAAAACAGTCACCCACCTCGTAAGTTCATTGACTCTGCATTCAAGGGTAGCCAAATATAAGAGATGCATATCTAATCTGAATCAGTGGAATACCTGTGGTCCCCCAAGGCCTGTCTCCCTAGTTGGTGCAAAGAACAGAGACTATAAGCTATTGAAGTTGCCTTCCTATTTTCCTTCCCCAGCTCAAACAGAATAAACAAATGTTTTTACATATGTGCTTCCTCTTTTCTCCCCCAACAGTATACAGTATGGAACTTTCTACCAAAGAACCTGTTTGAACAATTTAGAAGAATTGCCAATTTCTACTTCCTTATCATCTTCCTGGTGCAGGTAAGGGCAAGCTTTGTCTGTCTGCCAACTCAAACAGTGATAAGTGATATAATCTTTTTAAAATAAGGACTTCATGGGTGCCTTTTGTTTATTTGATGGTGTTAATTTGTAGTCAGGTCCTCCGTATGAAGGTTCGTTTCGGGCCGCATTATGTTTTTTTTTTTAAATTAAGTCTGAATAGATCAGTGTAAGTGATCGACATGCTGACTGTGTTGCCTGCATAAAAAAGGGGTGTGAGAAACTACATCCATGTGCATGTAGCCATAGCAGGTGTGCAATAGTAACAGGATAAGTGTGTGTACAATTATAACAGATGTGAAACTGCTCTACCTTATTTCCTTACTGGGCGTGTTCATTTGCGTGAACTGCAGAAAGTAAAAAAAAAAGTTTATATTGAAGGCACACTGATCAGTACAATTGGTCATGTTTAAATGCCTTGCTTTACTACGCTCCCTTACACCCTGCTCAGGTTATAGCGTTATGCACAGTCTGTCATTTAATCCTGTTTATAACTTTCAAAGAACATGAAAAATTCAGCATTATGGCAAGTCATCAGCAGTTTAATTCAACTAACTCATTCATCCAAGACCTGGTCTCACATGGTTTTCAAGTAAAACGGAAAGAAATTTGAATAGTTGAAAGTTGCTTCTCACTTTGTCTGAGAAGCCCATTTTAACAGGTTTGTAGTACTCTCATGCTAATCCCTGAATTTCTTTTTGTGTCACTGTTTCCTTGGTTTGTCTTGTCCGTGCTTAATTACTGGAAACTGAACTGGTTGAGGACGCTAACTAATAGACTTCAGCTGTACTCTTAAATGACTTCTCTCCTCTCTGAAGATTTGTTATATACATCTGCTTTTGCTCTTCCATTACCTCTTCCTAATGATCCATTTTTATGGTCCATGGAAATGGAAACTAACTGGTTTCCTTTTAGCGATAACCTAAACTATGGCAGCAAAGGAGCCGTCTAGTGTAAACAGGTGCTCGTTTTAGACCTTGTCAAGAAGGAAGTCCTTTCTCTCGTCATGGACTCTGAGCTTCTGTTCCCAGAAACCCAATGTTTCAGTGTCAGAAATGAAATTAATCTCAAACAATATCACATTAAGTGTAATATTCATTTCCCCCAGCCTTTCTTCTCTAAGTTGTCTGGATTAATTCTATATTATATATATTATTCTGTATTCTGTCTTAGCTAATGCGTATGAATGCTGAATTTTTAATTTTTATTGTATGGAATTAATGTGAGAAGAATCAATGTATGTATGTGAATATGAGGAATTTCTACCTGTGATGTGTTCATTTTACAATGTTTGTGTGTGAATAAATGTATATGTGTGTGTGAGCTTGCGGATGTTATGTATGAGTCAGTGGGTGTCCTGGGTGTTTACCCAAGCTGCAGTGTGGTTGGCATTTCTCCACTAATCCAGTTTCACTTGAGGGGTTCCTTATCCTAACCACTCAGTCTTTCCTATGCAGCTTGCTATTATATTAGATAGTGTGAAACAGGTACACAGATTGTGCGCTCATTTTGCACTTGCATCTTACAGACAGAAATAAACCTTCACATTTCCCCCGAGAGGCTTAATGCAAATACTCTACCAACAACTAAATGTCATGCATCCTCCAACTCTGTTCTATCCTCCTTTTGTCTCACATTGTCATTTGGTGTCTTTCTTTCTGTCTTTCTGTCTCACATAACCTCCAATTCGCTGCAGCGCTGCACTGCTGACGTCAGCAGCCAGGAAGCCCTCTGTACATCTGAGTGCCACAAATAGACACAGGCTGATAAAAAAGCACCACTCTCCTATAAATAGCCCTGCGTGTCTTTGCTTGAATTTGATTGAATGGGAATAGAGCACTGTGAGAGAGTGGGAGAAATGGTGTTGAGAGGGTGAGAGAAAAGGAGAGACCGAGGAGGGTGGAAAAAAAAAAAAGAGAGGATGAAGGGGTGGGAGGATGCGAGGACCCACTCCTTTGGGACCCCGGGGAACTGCTGTCTGTCGCTCACTCTGACACACTTCCCGGCTCAGATGAAGGGCTTTCTGCTGCCCCGTTCTGCTGCTGTGATATCACACCAGCACATCAGCAGCAGTACACTCTTATTGCTGTGATTTTTTTCTTTTTTTTTTGGCTTTGCATTTGGTGCAGTGGAGGCAAGTGTGTATAAAGTTGGTGGCGGTTGTTCTTAATGGGTGCAGATGAATTGATAAAAGGTTGAGTATATGAATGTTTTATTTTTCTTAGGGGTAGCTGTGTATATAGTGACGTTCTGCTATACTTAAATTGCCACTGAGCCATTGCTGTTGTATAAGTAGAGGCACACGTGCTTTCCAAAAATGTTCCAAGAATTTGTCCATGATATTCCTGACAATGGATACGTTGTGCTGAGTGAGATCAAACTGCATGTATGTTCAGAAACCACCTGGGGCTACACAACCTTGATGTTTTTAAATCACCAAAACAAGGAAGCACCACTTAGTGGTTTTAGTATTAAACACAAATTTTTTTTTTAATTATAGCTAAACAGCAAAAATAGTTTAAGCAGGTTTAATATAGATGCATTAAATTTCAGTAAAAAACCCGTCTGTTCCAAAAATGGAGGCTGTCCTAGATACAGCTATGTCTTCGAGGCCTGTCAAGTGATTTGAAATTGTATTATAGTGTGGGATTAAGGTTGTTTTGTGTGGGTTTTGTTGATGAACAGATAAAATGCCACCATCAGCTCTTTCTTTTTTAGTCCTCTATTGAACAGTGGCTAAGGATAAATCAAAATCAAACAACTCTGAGGCTGAAAGTTGGCTTTGTAAAGCATTTTCTTTATACTGTGGTAAACCTTTGCTGGGTTTTGCCATCTGGCTGCTGCATCAGAGAGACGTTAGTTTCTATTTTTCTTTCTGTGATCAGACAAATCTAAATCCAGTCATGTGAACAAGAGGTGATGGACATTAAAGGGGGCCTATTATACTCATGTTCAACTCCATATTTTTATTACTGATCTCTACTAGTTTAGCATTTCATAATTCAAAGCTCAAAATAACTTGCAATCTTATACTGGGCATTGGTGCAAATCCTTAGGTTACCCACTATCTCAAACAAGCTGATTTAGCTCATCTGCCTTTAGGGGTCACCTTCTCTTTAGTCCAGTTCTCATTGGCTGCTTTTCTCAAGAGACACTTTCATGACTGTGTAGCTATCTAGTCTTAAGATCTAAAGATTCTTGAAAGTATACCCCCAAATACTCTTGAATGATTGCTGGCTCTCCAACACATCAGGCCACTGCGGCAATATTAATACTTTTGTCTCACCAGAATAGCTACAAACATAATGCACTACTCTAAATCTTCAAATGGTGGAGGTGAACTTGTCTGTCTCTGCTTTGTAATTGATTTATCCTTTAATGAACTGTAATCACAGTAAGGTTCGGATGGATTTCTAGTGCACTGCCCTTGTACTTTTATGAGTGTGTTTTTGAATGGGTAAAGTATGTGGATCTGTGTTTGTGTCAGACAGTGCTTACTAAGTTTGCTGCCATTTTTATTTAATTTTCAGTTCAAGTGCAGTTGAGGAACACTGGAGACTGCATCAAAACATATCCTACTTGAGCCGATGTCTATCTGACACTTTGTAATGCTCCTGGTCAGAATATGAATGAGCTGGATGTGCTGTAACATCCAGTCTGGCTCATGGGGAGCCCAACTGCATTCTGCAGGATCAGAAATGCAAGCGTAAATCCTTCTGATAGGTTTAGGTGACATAAACACAAAGAGCTTTCTGTTTGCTGAGATTTTAGCTGGGTGCCTTGTGAGCCACTGCTCTTAAGCTGGATGTTTACCTGATCCTCACATTCTTATTACATACATGACTTATAAATGCAAAAAACCAAGTCTGATCCCCATACTCTACCTCTAGATTCTCTCACGAAATCCTCAGGCAGGTAAGGTCTGTTTGTCAAAGCTTTCTGCTGGCCCTCTTCCATGCCTTGGCAGAGACACAGTAGTGTTGGAATGCCTGCAGATTAAGCACTCTATCCCTGGCTCACTTGATTAAAAGTTCCGTGGTCCAGAACCTCCTTCTCTCCCCTCCAAAATGTAAATGTCTCCCTTGTGTTCCCTACTGATGAACAAATATGGGAAGTAGTAGAAAAGGACTACACCCTGCATTTAGAGGGCCTGCCTCATCATGCAAACCGTTACCACACATTGCTGCTGTAGGAGGACTCTGTAGTGATGTATGTAATACATTGGCATTGAAACAAAAAAGCATATGTTTATTGCTGAGCGTTAACATTGCGTTTCTCTTTTTCTTCTTCCTATTAGGTGATAGTGGATACCCCCACCAGCCCAGTCACCAGTGGCCTACCATTATTTTTTGTGATTACAGTAACTGCTATCAAGCAGGTAAGATATGTTCCTAATGAGAGTAAGTTTTGGTAGCAGTCACTTTATTGTGATTTTGTTTTTGTTTTTTTAAATAGCCGTGTCTTATTGTCCTCCTTCTCTGTATAACACAGCCCCCCTTTCTTCATAACTGCCTTGGTGTGATTTTTGTGTAAAGTACGTGCCTAATGCTCTCTTGGGTTTTGTATTAATGTGCTCTGCTGGTGAATTCTGATTGGGGTGTAGATGAAATAGCCTCTAGGGGAGTATTAGCAAATGAAGAGAGAGAGAGTCTATTTCAGAGGTACAAATTATCAAGGGGAGTATCTGTTTCTTTGACTCTATTGCTTCCCTGTCCCAGCTTTAGATGTATTGTTTTAAGATTGGCTTTTTAGTTAGTCTACAGCTGCGGCTTTGAAATGCACAATAATGGGTGGATTTCCTTACAATAATATATGGGGTGCACTGATAACACATGTCCGTGTTCATTCACGGTAGTGCTGTTAGTATATTTTTTCACACTGGTTTATACTGTGGAGTTCTGTGAACAAGGCTCAGGCAGTTCCTCCACACATAAAGACGGTGAATGAGATGGTGAAGATAAGGTGTTACTCATGCTTAAATAGGTCTTTCCTCTCGGGCTGTATACTTCCTGCCAGAAAGTTTGGAAAAATAATTTCAAACTGACTTTTGAACTAAACTGAGTCCAGGATGAAGGAGAGGGATGATCCTATTATTGCAAACTGAGTGTGGCAAAGCACTGGCAACAGAAAAGGACGATATAACACATGGAAAAGAATAACGAGAAGCCCGTTAAGAACTAAATGATTCTCGATAACCTTATATAAAATGTTCATGTATTTAAGTGAAATTTTTGTTTAACAGAGACCAAGACCTCACATTTTTGGTTGTGTAAACTAATTTATATGGCAGATGCTTCATTATTGTTTGTATTTTTGACTGAAAAATTATATGGATAATAATAATAATAGGAATAAGAATCTTTGCATCACTAAACCAGACTTGATCCTCCTATTATCCTGTAATCCTGCTTTTTGGCTCACACTCAGCCTTGGCACACATTTTGGTTTACCCCTCTATTCTCATCTCCTCCATATCCATCACTATCTTAGAGACCTCATAAAGTCCACACTTGGTTTTGTGGCTCTTGCTGCTGCAGCCTTTGAAATTATCTTTTTACCTGACTCAGTATTATTTCATTTTATACTGTTTCTCTGCACTACTGGACAATCACCATCTCATTCTGCTGCTGTAGGCACTTCTATACGTAATGATGACATGCTGGATGTGGAAATTTAATTGTATGAATTGACATTCATGTTTTATACTCTTCCATGGAAATGACGGATGCCGCTTGTAGTCTGCTGAAACTTCTTTCACCATTAAGAAGCCGTAAAACATTCAGGGAACACCCCTTAGTTTGACAGCTAGTGCTGTACTGTGTGCCTTTTTATTCTGACATCAGTTATAACTGTCAGTGTCCCATAGGTACAGATGTCATGGAAAAGGTTTCTACTTTTTGTTGTGCTAAGCAATGCTATTCTGATTTTGATATATTGCCACAGGGATATGAGGACTGGCTGCGGCACAAGGCTGACAATGAGGTGAATAAGTACCGAGTGACAGTGCTTGAAGATGGCCGGAGGATACAAAAAGAGAGTGAGAAGATCAAGGTACTTTGTAGCAGCAGATGCATCCTAGCTGAAGTGAAAAATAAAATAATTCCTCCAATATATATGCAGAGAAAGGCTGCTGGCAGCTATACAGGACTTTTTGGGATATATGCACAAGGGAGAACATAGTCTCCTGAGCTGATCTGATGCTCAGACATGTTTGTAAAGGCAACTTATTTATCCAGTGCATTCTACTTTTAAAGACCTATAGTTGGCTGGCTCACTTTAAGTAGCTTTCAGGATTTTAAAATGAACAAATTTTGTAGTTGGTCATCTTTTATTTATTTATTTAACTTTATTACGGTAGAGATCTGCTCGTACAGCTGACACCACTCGACATACAGCTGTCAATACCAAAGCTTTGTTATGTGTTGTTTATGCGTTGTATAAAACAGCTGTTCCCAGCACAGGAGCCAACATAAGCTTACTGCTAGCTACTTTTGCTAAAATAAACATTTAAAATACAGGCAGGTTTTTGTCACTGCTTGGCAGTCCAAACCTGAGCTCAAAGAAGATTATGGATTGTTCTTGTTTTCACTTTTAGTATCTGGGTTTTTACTCACTGATCACAACAACTTCACAGGGACCTGGCAGTCATATGTATTTATAAGTCTTCTTAGTGATAAAAGTAATTTAAAGTTGTTTGAACTTCTGCCATTCATCCTGTGCGCGATTCTTCTGAAAAGAGGGAGAAAGCACACAGTGTCTTCACAAATGGTCTTTGGTTGTGTTTCTCTAGGTGGGAGATGTTTTGGAGGTGGAGGAAGACGAGACCTTTCCCTGTGATTTAATATTGCTGCAGTCTAGCCGAGATGATGGCACATGTTTTGTTACCACAGCAAGTCTGGATGGAGAATCGAATCATAAAGTAAGATAAGTGTATTACTTTTCAATCGTTTTGCATAGAAGAATTTGAATTAAAAGTAGTTCCAGATGAAGTTATAGTCAATGTGCGTTCATTTGATTAATATTAGGTAATAAGAGAGGAGGAGTGGATGTAGAAGAACAGTAAAGAATGCATTTGCACTTGCCTAGATACATGTTAAAATAATTGTGTAGTTATAATTCAGGGAATCTTGATTTATTTTCATTGAATGCTGGTCTCACTTTAAAGAGGTTTCACTTTTGTTTAGTTGCCAAAATTGTGTTCCTGTCTGTTTGTGCTCGAGTGTATTGGTATTTTTTCCTTCTTAATTTTCCGTTTTGTGTGTGAGTGAGAAGCAGTGGAAGTTAAAGCGATCAATGACCTAAGTTGGTCACCGCTCACGCTATTTCTCGGTCTGCCTCTTCTACTTGTCCAGACACACTACACAGTGCCAGACACAGAGCGCGATGTGGAATCTCTCAACGCCACCATTGAGTGCGAACAGCCACAGCCTGACCTTTACAAGTAGGCAATCATCATGTGGTCCCAACGGATTTACACTACAAGCATGTGGTGCTTGTGATCTGCTGAGGAGTGGATTAACTTAATGCCAGATTTAAAAAAATGTCTTCAATGACTCTGATATTAACATGCAGATTGTTAAAAAAAAATGTTTCGGCAAGCCATAGTGCATTTATGGGATAATAACTTGGTCTCTCCAAGACGAACTTAATTCTTACTTAAGTGTAGTTCTATGTCTAAAGACAATATGTCTATATAGGTCAACTTTGGGGCAAGCAGTGAAACTATTATAATTTAAAATCATACCTGAAGATGAAGGCGTGAATATTCCGAGCTAATGAAAGTGACAATATGGCTGACTACAAGTATTAGGCAGTACTCTAAACTTCTAGATTTTAAGGTCAATGAATATTTAGCTTTGAGTAATTAATGAACTCAGAAAAGATTCGAATACCTCAAGTTCAGATCTCTTCCACTCTTAACACAATAGTTGCTCACAAATCACTTCATCTGTTTGAGCATATGCCGTTGTGTTCCAGGTTTGTCGGTCGTATGCACATCTACAAAAACAATGAGGAGCCTTCGCTAAGGTGAGAGCACTCGTGTCCAACCAAGTCTGCATAGTTTAAAGAAACAAAATCTAAACAGTTGTTTATTTGTTTCCCTTTACATAACCAGCAAATCATTATTTCATTGATCCTTTATAGCAGTCAAGCATTAAAATAAAAACAGACTGGCAGGGATTTAGGCACTGCTTCCAAAGCACTCCCACAGGCATTTATCATTGACTGCTTTGTAATGACCATATAAACAAATGCCAGTGTCCTTCTCAAGAACACTGGAACTGGTGTGAGCCCAGACTGCAGGCATACTGTGTACTGTCACTGCGTATATTAGAGTGGATGCCAGCTTCCCTGCCAGGTTTCCATTTAGAGGATAGAGAGGTGTGGATTCCACAGCAACTGTATGACTAAATAGGTGGATCTACTGATGTGATTGTGCAGGTCACTGGGCCCAGAAAACCTCCTGCTGAAAGGAGCAACTTTAAAGAACACTCAAAGCATCTGTGGTAAGTCAATAATAGCTTTTTTACTGGTACCATATTAAAGATGGCTCGATATCTTAAAGACTGATGTCTTTTCTTATTTTCTTTTTTAAGGTGTTGCAGTTTACACCGGCATGGAGACAAAGATGGCTCTTAACTACCAAGGAAAATCTCAGAAACGCTCTGTTGTGGAAAAGTAAGTTTACAGGGAAAAACAATATGTATAAAACAAGTCTAAAAAATACATTTGATACTCACTAATTTGAGTTTTTATGTCTACAGGTCTATCAATGCCTTCCTTTTGGTTTACCTTTGCATATTAGTGAGCAAGGCCTTAGTGTGTACTACACTTAAGTATGTATGGCAGAGCAAGCCTGGACAGGATGAGCCCTGGTACAACGAGAAAACTCTGAAAGAAAAGGAAACCAATCTGGTGAGTTTGCATTTTAGAAAACTAATGAAAACAAACATTATAGGGAAAAAAAAGGAAAAGTGACTGAGGAAAATAAAACATGTCTAAAGCAGAACTAGAAGAACAGCTGTTGCAAGAAAAATGGCTAATATGGCTTGTTAGATAAGTTTCATCATACTGTTATTGTGTACTACATACATACATACATACTGAGGCCTATGTTAATTCAATAGTAATTATTATAATCCTTAAAGGGCTGCTGAGGGAACTCTATACATAGTTTTAAAGTTCTTATAAAATGAGCAAAATGGCCACTGTTGCCATATGATGTAGTCCGTTTCATGTCATCTGTTAACCTTCTGCTTTAGCCCGCATTCAACATTGTGACTGCCATTTCCTCATTTTTGTTGCAAGTATAAACAGTGACGTCTAGGACTGCAGAATGGTTTCTTAGAATTGCTTAGGTTATGGAGAAAATGATGCAAACCGCAACTCACTCTTTCTCTCTCTATACATATAAATACAGTGTGTATATATATCTCTCTATATATGTGTAAATATATTATGTGCCTCTTTGTTTTTTTACCAACAGTACCTTAACATGTTCACCGACTTCCTGTCCTTCATGGTGCTCTTCAACTTCATCATTCCAGTGTCCATGTATGTGACCGTTGAAATGCAGAAGTTTTTGGGATCGTTTTTCATATCCTGGGATAAAGATTTCTTTGACAGTGAAATTGAGGAAGGGGCACTGGTCAACACCTCGGACCTCAATGAAGAGCTGGGACAGGTCAGAAATATCTGTCATTATGCTTTCTGTAAACTCTGCATTTCTGTGTCCAAAAATTTTCAATTATATTAACTAAATTCCTCTATTGTTTATAAAAACTCTAAAGCTTTTCCTGAACATTTCATCTCCAGCATCTCTGAACGATGTCCAGATGTAATCTGTAGAACAATCACTAGCACTATGATGTAGTTTTCCATCCAAACAAGTTTATATTTTATACTGAATTTTGTGTATTTTAAAAAGCAAAACTTCTACCCGAGACTAATGTAAGTGCTTCTTTAAAATGAATTTTCCTTGTTTCATTTTTATTATGGCACTGCTGACTTAAAGGGCGCTGCCATAGATCAGTCACACTTGGTTTGCCAGATGATTATTTGAGTTAAAGGTGATGCTCCGTTAAACTGATTAATGCAGTGTAATTTCCTCCGGGAAGTAATTGCCTAATATTATTGTTGGAGGCTTTTAAACGAGAAACTGAATTCTTATGGTTTTGGAAGTGTGTGTCATTTTTATTTTCATGTTGCCTGTAGGTGGAGTACGTCTTCACAGACAAGACGGGGACCCTAACTCAGAATAACATGGAGTTCATAGAGTGCTGCATTGATGGCCACCAATACAAGTACAGGGATGCGAGCTCGGAAGTGGACGGATTCTGCGTTACAGATGGACCTATGAACACAGTACAACAGAAAGCTGGCAGGGTGAGTGTTGTGGTGTCCCGCCATCTGTTGTAAAAGTCATACAAGGATTAACATATGGCCATTACATAGCTCGATGCCCAGAAAGGCCCTTTATTGGTCACCCTGGTACATTCTCCTTGACATGTCGACATATGCGCTATAACATAGCGGAGGGAAGGAGCTGCATGCTCCTGACACGAGTGCTTGATAACACTTCACAGACTATTGCACTTAATTACTTGTGCTGATAAGGGGTCAGTTTGGTTATAAATTCTAGGCGTTATCCAAACTCCAGCTACTGTATATAGCTCCTTGTTTGGTTGTTAATAATTAAGTAAAAAAAAGATTTATGAATTTATTTTAAGGTTTATGAATGAATTTTCTACTTGTAAAGCCCTACATTTTTTTTTTAACAGTATTAAGCCACGTTTACGTAATTTTCATAGGAAAGGGAAGAGCTGTTTCTGCGTGCCCTGTGCCTGTGCCACACAGTCCAGGTAAAGGAGTCTACAGAGCAGGGTCAAGGTCAAGATGGACGGATAGACCAGGTGGATGGATTAATGGTAGATGGACAAGTGGTCCCTCCACTGCAGGAGCAGAGGGGCTTTATAGCCTCCTCACCTGATGAGATTGCTTTGGTCCAGGGTGCAATGAGGTAAGAGGTTGGGTGTCATGACTCAGTGATTTCAGGTGGCTATTTGACAAGCACACAGTTGGAATTGATAAACCTAAGGAAAATGTAACTGGTATAATTTCGTTATAATATTTATTGAGAACATAAAAGCCATTTGTGTTTTGATTTGTCTCGATCTCAGGTACGGCTTCACATTTCTTGGCCTCGAAAGTAAAACCATGAAAATTCTCAACAGGACAAATGACGTTGAAATGTAAGTTAGTCATTTCTTGGAATGTCTTTTCTTTTTTTAAAATCTCAGTTATTGTTTGTATTTAAATTACATCTTTTATTTCCTCTGCGTACATCCTTTAGGTATGAATTGCTTCATGTGTTGAACTTTGACCCAGTCAGAAGGCGAATGAGTGTAATCGTCAGATCAATATCAGGTGAGCTTAAGGTTACTGTCAACGTTATTGGAATGCTAATAAAATAGCGTTGACCAGCACATCCCTGATGCTGGGTGTCTGTATAATAGTGTGTTCTTCGTGCCCAGGTGAAACACTGCTCTTTTGTAAGGGAGCCGACTCCTCCATCTTCCCCCGAGTCAAACAGGAGGAAGTTGAAAAGATACGCATGCATGTGGAGCGTAATGCAACAGTACGTGGTGGAAAACATCTCGTTTTCCTAAATTTCCAACTGTTGGAATGATTTCATTGCATAACATTTTGGCTTTTATAACATCAGCTGCTATTTTACTGTTTAGGATGGTTACCGGACACTGTGTGTGGCCTACAAACATCTTACTGCTGAGGAGTATGACCAGGTAGATTCAGGATTAAGGGAAGCTAGACTGGCTCTGCAGGACAGAGAGGAGAAGCTCATGGCTGTTTACAACCAAGTGGAGACTGGAATGAATCTAATTGGAGCTACTGCTGTTGAAGATCGGTGGGTGCTCACACAAAATGTATAACTGTGATGCTCTTAATTGTGAAACTGCTGTGTTGAAACCCCAAATATGTTGATTCTGTTCATCTGGACGTAGTTTTTCGTGTTGAAACCTGCTGAATATCCTTAAATCCACATACTTGTGCTGTTCTTGCCCCTTAATAAACATCAGTGCCAAAAGGAAGAGGAGTGAGTGCAAAAGCACAAAAAGGAGTGCAAAAGCCTGTGATGAGCATATCACCAAGCCTTGTCTGGACTTGCTCTTTGTTATGTTGCTGCAATGAGTTAATTCCTCCCTTTGGGGATGTTTTAAATGTCATCAACTGTCACTTTTTTCCACCATGTATGACTTTGGCTTTCTATTTTCATCTGATTAGTTTGATATCAGCTAAAAGCCCTTCTTTTTAGAGCGTTTTAATTTAAGCTCACACTGCCATCTTGTGGTTAAGTTGTGACCTACAATCAAAGATTCCAGCTTTTAAAAATAGACTGCATAAATTGCAAAAGTTTAGGTCTAAAACACATGCATTGCCTATAACAAAGGAAGTAAACATATTCCTGAATCACCATTTATTCATCATTTAATACACAAACACTCACACTTTTAAAGGACCACGCCTTCCCAAACCATTATGACATGAAATTTGGTAATTTAGCTTAGCTTTTTTTTTGTTTTGGTTTAATTGTAGGCATTCTTGCTGCTAGTAGTCATAATGATCCTTTTCTATTTATTATTCTACAGTCTTCAAGAGGAGGCAGCAGAGACTATGGAGGCTCTGCAGGGAGCAGGTATTAAAGTGTGGGTCTTAACAGGAGACAAGATGGAGACGGCCAAATCCACCTGCTATGCTTGCAGATTGTTCAAGAGGAACACAGAGCTGTTGGAGCTAACAGTGCGTACTCTAGAGTCTCCAGGAAAAAGGCGTGAGGACCGACTGCATGACCTCTTGCTCGAGTACCACAAGAAAACTGTACAGGATGCACCACCAGCAAAGACATGTGTTGCCAGGTTGGCACCTTAGATTACAAAAGCCTGTGTGCTATGTACTGACATTATTCTGATTTTTATTTATTTTTTTGGCTTTTTATTAGGGGGTTGTGGGGCAATAGTTTAAAAAAAAAAAAAAACATTAGTAACAATTAAACTATTTTGTCTACTCTGTATTGCAGGAATTGGTCCAGCCAGGATTATGGTTTTATAGTAGATGGAGCCACTCTGTCGATGGTGCTCAACTCATCCTCTGAAAACAACTTACATGACTATAAGGACCTATTTCTACAGATATGTCAAAACTGCACGTCTGTGCTCTGCTGCCGCATGGCTCCCTTACAAAAGGCACAGGTCAGAACAGTGATTTAATAAGCTGAGAAATAAAACTGAATTGATTTCTTTCACGGTGAAAGATTATTTCTGATTTTATTCAGCTGTTGTGCCTCTGTATCAATCTATCTATAGATAGTTAAAATGGTGAAGAACTCCAAAGGCAGCCCAATCACCCTTTCCATTGGAGATGGAGCCAATGATGTCAGCATGATTTTGGAAGCTCATGTAGGCATTGGTAAGAAATGTGATGATGTGATGCTGAAGCTAATTTAGCCATCTTTAATTACTCTTCTATGTGTAGTGGAGTGCAGAAATGTGTAATTTGTTTTGGGCCTTGGTGTTTCAGGCATTAAGGGGAAAGAGGGTCGACAGGCGGTGAGGAACAGTGATTATGCCATCCCCAAACTGAAGCACCTCAAGAAACTTTTGTTGGGACATGGGCATCTCTACTATGTTCGCATTGCACACCTGGTGCAGTATTTCTTTTATAAGGTAAGTGGAGATTCTGTGTCCAGGAGCACCCACTAGAGCCTGACAGATATATTGTTTGACTGATATTAGCTTTTTGCTGATATGTCAGTATCAGCATAACATGACCATAATATGGGTCTCAATGTTTTCCACCAGTTGTAACTTCCCCTTTGTGAAAACACATGTTTGGAATGCTACAAACACAACGATCAGGTGCTCAGAGTGTAAATGACTAATCAGCATCTTGATTTGGAAATAAAACAAGCTAATGTTTAACCTGCATGGTTACATTTTGTCAGATAAAAAAGGTTTGTGATATATGTGGGCATTTCGTGTGCCTGAATGAAAAGAAATATTGACCCATACATTGGATTTGTAAATCAGTAAATACCAGTTTCAATCTTAAAAATCCTATATTGGTCAACATCTAGTACCCACCAAAAGCCATTTGGTATCTTTACACTGGTGCAGTGGTTAGCACTGTCACCTCACAACAAGAAGATTCTGTGTTTGGATCCACTGGCTGACTGGAGTTTGCATGTTCTCCCTGCTTGTGCGTGGCCTCTCACTGTATACATTGGCTTTCCCACAATCTAAATTGGCAGGTGTGAACGTGAGCACGAGTGATTGTCTCTTTTTGTCAGTCTAGCCATAGACCGACAACCTTTAGCTCCACCGCAATCCTGAATCCTTGATAAGCAGAAGGAAATGGATGGATACACACACGCTCATACACATATAGTCTTACATGCGAGACTGATTTTTTTAGGTTGAACTCTGTATGACCCTGTTTTCATTCTCTGTTCGCCTGCAGAATCTTTGCTTCATCTTACCACAGTTTTTGTACCAGTTCTTCTGCGGCTGTTCCCAGCAAGTAAGTATATCTAATTGAGGTTCAAAGACATTCTGAACATGAAAGGAAGTAGTGTTTCCTAAAATCACACCTCTGTGTGCTCCCGATTGCTCAGCTCTTGTCCTCACAATCCCCTTTCCTCACTGTCCCTGGGATGTATGCACTTTGTTATCGTCATACAATATAAATAGGCAAAACTCATGCCGGTCATGTTGTGCCACCACGAATACACCATGACACAATATGGATATTTTGGAATCCTGGTGGCATTTGTTTGTTTTCCTAGTCTTAGAAAAAAAATTAAAATAGGGGAAAAATCTTATGGAAATTATTTTGAGCACAAGGATTAATTTTATTATTCTTATGACATCTGTCATCCTTTTTAAGATCACCGAGTGATTATATTTTTGTGTGAAAGGTGAAGGTGATTTTCTTTTCTTTTGTTGTTTTTGTTTTTTTTTTTTGGTTTCCCCATCATGCCACTGGTCTCTGATATAGATCTTTCACAAGCACATGAAAGATGTATATAAGCTTGCTCATGACGTGCTCTGTGCTCAAGTTATGGTTGTGTGTATGAGTTGTGTCCTCTCTGTGATATTAACCCCTCCTCCTCCTTACCAACCCTTCCCTCGTCAACCTTTCCTCCTGCTCCCATCCTCCCCAGCCCCTGTATGATGCGGCCTATCTGACGATGTACAACATCTGCTTCACCTCTATGCCCATCCTGGCTTACAGTCTTTTCGAACAGCATATTTCCATTGAGATGCTCCTGGAAAATGCTACCCTCTACAGGTAAACTGGGATATAAAAGTAGATGTGCTTGTTATGTTCTGTCCTTTCATCAAAAATCCCACAGTAATGGAGATTAGGAGATTCTTTTCTTAGGTTTTAAATCTAGACTTGGAAGGATTTCTGTGTCTGTGCAACACTTCACTATTTAAAGAATTGGTAACACTATCCGGAGACTAATGTGTTTATTTTGAATTTAGGTACAGAATTATATTGTATACTTTTACTATACAATACAATATTGTTACTAAATAAAGTCCTGGTTTGGGTTCAGGCGTAATTTAAAAGTAAAAAAAAGTAAAAATAAATATTTAATGAACAGGTTACAAAGTTCTTCTGGTGAAGTTGAGTTAACTAATTTTGATGGTAGCTCATTTGTATTTACACAGTAACTTTTTTGGCCACCATTAATATGTTATATAATGGTGTTGTCCTTTTGTGTGATAAACAGGAAATGTTACACAAAGACACAGTAAGTAAATAAATTTGTTAATTTTCCTCTTTCAAATCTTTAGACAAATCGGTAAGAATGCCATGTTACGGTGGGGACCATTTCTCTACTGGACATTACTGGGAGTCTTCCACGGCTTGGTCTTCTTCTTTGGTGTTTGGTTTTTGTTCAGCAACCCAGCCCTGCAGGATAATGGCCAGGTTTGATTTAAATCCACTTCTAAACAGGTTTCATATCTACAGTCTTCTAACTACAACTGCTGATTGTTTTATTGTTTTGACTCTAGGCTTTTGGGAACTGGTCATATGGAACGATTGTATTCACCATCCTTGTTTTCACTGTAACACTAAAGGTAAGCTCTACCCCTGTTTATTTTGACATTTATAAAACGTCTATCATTAGAGTGGACATATGAGTTTGAAGTAGATATTTTGTTAGTCATGTCTTTTGCAAAGTTCTTTTATATGTGTTTTAAAAGATCTCTTACTACTTTCTTTTCTCCAACATTCTAGTTGGCTCTGGATACACGGCACTGGACATGGATAAACCACTTTGTGATATGGGGTTCCCTGGCTTTCTATGTGTTTTTCAGCTTCTTCTGGGGAGGAGTAATATGGTTAGAATTCAACTGAGGATTAAAAAAAACAAAAAAACAAATCTTATTGTAGTCATTTTAGTTGGCCTTTTCATTCTAGTCAAACATGTATCTCCTCCAGACAGTATAAACTGAAGTGTCATCTCTCCCCCAGGCCTTTCCTGAGACAGCAACGGTTATACTTTGTGTTTGCCAACATGCTGAGCTCGGTGTCAGCCTGGCTGGTCATCATCGTGCTCATCCTGCTCAGCCTATTGCCAGAAATCCTCTACGTGGTGCTCCGCAAGCCCCGCGGCCCTTACGCTCGACAGGTAGTGCTATAACTCTCTCTCTCTGTCTCCCTCTCTCTTTTCTCCCCCTCTCTTTCTCTCTCTCCCTTCCCTTTATTTGTTCTTTTCTAATTATTATTTTTGCTAATGGTTATTTTTGTTGATGGAGCATATGTTTAATATATTTTAGGTTGAACTGATAGAGGTTTATGAAGTACTGTTCAGGGAAGGATTTAAATCAAGGAATTTTAATGCGATTGCTGATTGTAACATTTGCATGGCTTTGCTAACATAGAGCAATGCAGATCTTTACAGAGCTGTTTGCCTCTCTTCACACTTCCTTTGCTTTGGTGTTAGATCATTGGGAAGAAGATGGTGGGAGGGGTAAATTACATCTGACCTTATTCAGAAGTGGAAAAAAGACGTTTGAAAGCACAAATATCTGATCTATTACAGCCCTCTGCTGGCTATTTAAAGCATGACGTACATTATGCAGGTTTATATTAGGGGGTCGGTTAGCTTGTCATATATTACGTTGCACATGTTTGCCAAAAGCTAAGAGAGTTTTAAGAGATATATTTAATGAGAGAAGAAAGGGTTTGAAAAGAAACCTAAAAAAACAAGCCAACCACCCCCAAAACATATTTTGTGTACCAAGAGATAATTTTTTTAAGTGTCTGTGCATCTTTAAAATTATGCCTGTTGTCGAATTATTTCTGAAGGCTGTTTTTATTTAACTTCCACCAGAAGTCTGCCAGAGGCATATTTTGTCATTTCAGTGGGCTCTCTAATGTGTTTGCAAGCAGATGGAAATGATTGGTGGTATTCTTGCTCTTTTCTGTGGGTTTTTTGGTATTGTGTCTAGACTTGATTTTTATTCCTTTTTTGGATGGGGGAGAAGTAATAAACTGAATGAGAAGTTTTGCTCATATTTGTGGAGAGCCACATAACTTGCAGATTTGTACAATATTCAGGACTTGCGTACGTATGGTGCACATATTTTTATTTTTTAGGCTCATTTTTCACCTTTCCTACTTTTCCTAACTAGTGCTAATGCTTTGCTCTTTAACACACTCATAACTATCTCACCCTCTTATTTCCTTCTCTCTTACTTCTCTGGACAATCCTCCCTAAAGATGAAACATCGCCTTCCTTCCTCTGGGACATCCACTATCTTCATGTTGTCACAGACCGCTAGCTCTCACAGCTTCTCATGGAGTGACTGAGGTCTCTTTTTCTTTGTCAGCTTTTATACTTCAGAATTTCTGTGTCTGTGCACCACTTGCCTGCTTCCTACTTCTGTGTCCTTCCTCTCCCACTGTTTCGACTCCTTTCTTCACCTATAATAACTCAGGCTGCTGTTTTGTAGATTTTAATAGTCCAATTTGCTTGGACAGATTAGGTCAGACATTTCAAATTTCTGATGTACTGTGTCACATATCAGGAATGCTATCCTTGGAAGGCACCATTTTAAACCTTGACTTGAGGGATTTTCTTTTTTGTGACACTGGGAAGAATGGCACGCTGCCATCTCTTCCAGCAGTGTGGAGTAGGACAGGTTGTCCATGCTAAAAACTTGCTGTTAGTCTGCCATGCTTGTCTGCCTAGTTGTATCAGTCAGTGTCTCCTCCCAGCTGCCTTTGCTGCTCCACTGCCTGCTGCCTTCGCATGTCCAGTCAGGTGGCTGCAGCACATCACAGCATCCAAACGTACCTGCATGAGGCCCAAATTCACAACCTCATCCTGGATCCTCAAGCCTGACAGTGTGTGTGTGTGTTTGTGTGAGTGTGCGTTTGTATATGTCTTAAGACATACTTATTTTGTGAAATTTGCAAGAATAGTAACCCTATATTATTTGAACCTATTAAAAAGTCGACTAAAGGGCTTCCAAAACGGATCATTCCTAGAAGGGTTGTCTAAAATGGCTCCTGGATTAATTTTCATTGTCTACATGTCTACTTTGAAGTCTTTCTGAATGTATTTAATTGTTCTTTGTTTATATATTTATGTCTGTGTGCAAAAGAGAGCACAAGATGGTGAGAAAGGCAAAGTATGTATGTGATTATCAGCGTAGTGTCGTCACTGGTGTCTCTTGCCTCACCCTTCTAGAAGAAGCTGGTTCAGTCAAGCGCAGGGGGCATCCAGTCACCCCGGTCGTCAGCCAGGCCCCTGCTCATGAGAACCTTTTCAGATGAGTCCAATACTGTCAGTTAAACAGGTACCAGCCAACTTTCAGGCCATTTAAGCCAATCAGTGATTTGCTCCCCCAGTCAACCAGTCCAGCAGCTCTCTCATCTCTAACTTTGAGTTTTAACAAGGAAATCAAAGACGGTAGCATAAAGGCCGCATTTATTTAGATTCTTTGTGTTCTTGTGTGTTGTGTTAGGCTCATATTGGCTGGCTGAAGAGATGCACTTTTCCCATGCCTCTTGTTTTGTTTAATCATTTCTATTAAACTGACCAAATGGTGCACTCACTTGATATGTGAAAGCATCCATTGACCTAATCTTTCAAAAGTTTTTTGTTTTTTTTGTTTGTTTTTTTTGTGCAAGCTCGTGCTCCTTTCAGCCTCCCTTTCGATGCCCAGCTTGTATTTACCTTTCTGCATGCGCAGATGTGCTTTCAAATCCAAATTTTTATTTCAGCCTCTCGCATTTCTGGACCTTGTAAGAGTGTCTGTGTGTGAAGTGTCTGTGGTGGTTTCATCCTCTTTACCCAACAGTGTGAAACAGCAGGGCTGGCCTATGATTTTGGCCCCATTTTCTGAAATATATGTGCTGTTTGTAACAATGTGGTTTAATCATTTGTCGTGGTCACGGTCTTCTGTGTGTATATCCAAACCCTAATTGGTCGTGGCTGTCTGCTTACTGTTTTATATGTGAGTGCATTGCATGACTCGGTGCATGATGTGATGTTGGCATAAGCTCTGCCCAAATGCTACTTCATGACAGGGGGTAGACGAAAAAAAATACCAAACACAAAAAAATGTAAACACCGCGAATAATGAAAAGCAGCCATTGTGTTGTGATGTTGTGCTAAATATCCTTAGGTGTTTACATTTAGTTTTTGTCCACCCCCTGGATGAAGGACTGAATGTTGCACATATCCGTCACTATTGACCATCGTCTCTGGTTGCGCAATTTTAGAAAGAGACTGTATGACAGCTTGCAGAGTTTAACTCACATTTCTACTTTCCCTGTAGCCATCATTGGAATCCCTCCTACAAACATCAAGGTAAACAAAGAGTCAGCACTAACCTTCTGTATTTGCTTAGTGTCTCTGCTGAGCTTCAGAAATTCAGTAGACTTGGATCAAATCGGGATCATTTCCTTTATTAATTTCTTTTTTAATCTGGTGGAGGAAACCGGTGGCATTGTAGTGACCTTCATGTTGTTAATCACTGCTTATTCATTTGGGGTGTGATTTCAAGGTGTCTCGTCCTTGTCCTCTTGTTGGTATGAACTTATGACGAAGACATCAGGTAACATCTGCTCACCCAATCCTTTTCAGATTGCAGCAGTAATGCCACTATCGTACAAGCATCTAAAGGAGCGCGACTAAAAGGCATCGAGGACTCATAACAGTCACGTCAACCTCATTCAGGGTCCCGTACCAAGGAAGAACGTCTGCCATCTGAAAGGAGGAGATGGAAAAAAATCAGAAGAAACGCGTTCGGTCCTTTGAGAGGGTTTAAAAGGCTTTTGACTTGTGTGTCTCCTTCTCCGTCCTTCGCTGTCAAACCTCAAAAAGCAGCCACCTCTCATGCATGCTTACAGAGCAGTGCTCTACATTCTTTTATACAGTATCTACTTAGACCCCAGGCATGAGTTTTCTTTCTTTTTTTTTTTTTTTTGTACCTTACTATAGAAGCGAATGCATACATGGCTGCCTTGTCAGTAGCTCTATTCATCTGCTGTTTTAACAAGCAGCTGAAATATCCACTTCAAGAATGCTAAATGTGCATGAAAGAAGGCTCAAAAGAACACAACTCCACCAACGTTTAGTCTCTGCATTCTACAAGCTTTTTTAATATATTATCAACAGTTTCAGAGGTTATTCTACTTTAGTGTTATTACACTTTTCAACTGTTAAGTTTTAAATTGTTTCAAATATTTTAGTAAACACACTCCTCAACGGATCCAAATCATTTGGGATGAAAAGTTACTGAATGTGATTTCAGCCCAGCTCAGATCAGCTTAACGACTGTTAAAGTGGTTTTCTGGTTGTAGATGTTTATTTGTATCTAGTAATGCCATTTATATTGAATACTAAGATATGAGGGGTCAGCAGAGGTCATATCAACCCTCAGTCCAAAAACTGCGTGTGTTTATGTAAGGCTAAGAAATGCATTAGAGATTTTAAGGATATTCTGGCAATGAGACATTGCTTGGAGCGTCACCTCCAATATTCCAACCTCAGAGATAGTTCAAGAGAGTCAGATTTGAATGAGAAAGTTAATGTATGTACAGTAGTATAGAGATATATTGTTAGCATCTGCTCGAAGCCAAAAACATGAACGCAATGCGATCAGAGTCTGTCCGCACTCACGTGCCCTAAAAGTGATGTTTTGTTGTATGGGTGTGACACAAGTGTAGGGCAAATGCACTGGGTGAGAATAGCCACAAATGCCTGTGTGTAATGTAAACCAGGATTACTTGAAACCTTACTGATGTAGTTCTGTTAGACATTTTCTGCACTATTAAGGAAACTGGTTTCTGCATTGTGTAGATGGTCACCAAGGCACATGAATATATGCCTGAGCGCACACACGCACATATCAGAGAAGAACATTACACGAACAGTAACCACCTTACACATAATGTCACACATGTACTAGAGCCTAAATGAGGTATTTGTATTCTTAGCCATTTACAAGTTTGCTTATTTTGTCTCAGTCAGGCTGAAGTTGGGGATTAAAGAAAACCAGCTTCATCGGAATAGTTAATGCCACTGTGAGACTCTACTCTCTGGAGTGGACCGTTCGGCCCCTTGTTTCTTCCTTTAACTTGTGTGTAGTGCTTCATACATTCCATTTAAACATAATTACATGATTTCAGACACTTTTGATGATGCTTTGGTTTGTTTCTTTTCCCCCCCTTTCTTTTCTTCACAAGTGTATATTGTGTACTTTGCATATTTATTAAGTAAATGTAATTTGACTCACAAATGTTATATTTTTTATTACTTTCAGTTTTAAATTGTGGAGCGTGTTCTGCTTTGTGTCATTTTAGTTGGCCTGTTTTACTACAGCTCTGTTGTGAGACTGTGCCAGTGTCATTAAATAGTCAATTTTATCTACACAAAGGCAGGCAGACCCTCCTCTGTGAAGACATTCAGCATCCCAAAAATTAGCCTCGGACCCGATGCCACTACTTTTTGTCTGGTGGTTTAACTGCAAGTTGAAGTTGAAAGCGATCATTGTTACTGATTATTTATGTTTAGATGCCAATCTGTATAGAATATGTCTTTATGATGATTTTAACTACTGCTTCGCTGATCTCTGCTCAAACATGCTGTGTATTAAATCTCCCTGACTGTAACCTAAATAGCTGTAAAAAATAAAATTTAAAAAAAATCATCTGCACAATGGCAAATGCAGCTGTTAGGCCTAAGGGACTTTAAGGATTTATATGGAAAGCAGGGGTTTTGTTTTGTTTTTGTTTTGTTTGGTCACCTAAAGACCTGTGCCAGAGATAACTGGATGTAAGATGATTCACAGAAGGGGCTGCCTGCTTTGTTACCAGATATAAACCTTTAAGTTACATATATATGGAAAAAAGAAATGCTATTTTCGAAGCTTAAAATGTGTTCAAATCTAATTTTGCCTGTCTAAATTAAAAGTAAAAAGAATGGATTGTATTTTTAATGCAACCTTTTTCCAGCCACTTTTTTTTATAAAATCAAAATGTTAAAAAAAGAAGAAAAAAAAATAAGCACGAGAGGCTTTGTGGTTGCGGACCCTGTCTGTGAGGGGTGGAGGTGGGCACAGCAGCAGTTCTGCACAGCAGGGACATCTTGCCACCTCCAGCCTTTTGGGTCTCCAGCTTCAACACTCTAAACCTCCAAGCTGAATGTACCTCTTTGAAAAAAAAATTATATTAAAAACCAGATGTTGTTCTTTAATAAAGCAGAATGTTTTGAAGATATACAAACTGCTTTGTGCTGCTTTGCACCACATGTTGTGTCAGCAGGTTTTGTCTGATGGAAGATCTGAATGTGTGTGCCTGAGAGGGGGGGGCTGAGAGGCTAAGCTGGATCAGCTGAGTGACTGCTCTCCCACTGCTCCATGCATGGCCTCGGATTAAAAAAAACAAAACATTAAATCGCCGTCACTATAGGAGAGATTTACATACATGCATATTTACACGTTTTCTGCACTCTGCAGTTGATCTATTCCAGGGAGTTGTGGGCTGAGCTGTGGGGAGTTGGGTTGAGAGAGAGAGACTGCAACAGTATGTACACAATGCCACTCTTTCATATTTGTTCTTCGGTTTGAATGTGATTGTTGTGTATTAAAGGCTGTTTCACAAGGGTCAAACTTGTTGGCTGAGGGTGTGGAAGATTTTAATTTTTTATCAATGGCGCTATTCTCCTCAGTTTGTGCATCTATATTATAGTGACACTGGAGAAATAGGCACATGAGCATGATAGCCAAGCAGCCTAACACTTCAGGCTACTGTTAGTCAGTGACATGCTGAAGGCTTGGTGTGTGTGAGAGAGCAGAAAAGTTGGGAGGGAGTTGGCACTATATCGGGTCCGGACTCTTGAGCCCTGCGATGCAGAGCTGACGCATTAATGTTCAGAGAGAGGGAGAGTGCAGAGGGGAGAGGGAGGCAGCAGTGTCCAGATGGAGGAGCTCTGTTTGTTTTGAAGTAGCTGACTGCTGCTGAGAGCAGGGCAGGGTGGAGGGGGAAACCTTGCACTCGCTCGGGGCGACAACGAGACAACATACTAGTGTTTTGTTTGCCTGTGTGGACAGTTCTCCTGTCGTAGCTGTGCTGCTCAGTGTGGAGGCGCTCTATGCAGCTCAAGGTCAGGAACAGCCAGCGGCAGCCTCGGGGAATTGTCCCATCTGGATCTTGGGACCCGCGGAGGGAGGTGGGAAAACTTTCCTTGTTTAAATAAATGGCTATGGAGAGCCATGGGGCTGTGAAGAGGATGTGAGGCCCGGGATACTGTCACTACCTCCCAAAAGTAGCGTCAGTTCTCCTCTGGCTGATCTCGTGTCAGAGACGAAGGGAATGGGCCCAGCCTCACTGCAGGAGGACAGAGAGCTGAGGAAAGAGTCCAAGGAGGAGATGGAGAGCTACCGCTGCCTTCTACAGGCAGGCTCCCAGCTAGAGAGCACTCTGCAGCGTGAGTACACGTGATGCTGACAACCCACTTTAGACTTGTGGTAACCACCAGGCTTTTGAATGTAATCCTCTATCTGCTCTAAAACTAATTCCTTATTATTACATTTCAGATTGGTGCTTTCTGAACAGTGTAGCAGGAGGGTGCATTTGGTTTGATTTACAGTGTTCATTTGTGACTTCTGAGAAACGTGATGGGAGGTAACAGGAGAGCTGCACTCTCTTGGGTTAGGCAATATTATTGATGTGCCATTTCCTGTATCTCTGCCTCAACAGTGAGCTATTGCAGGGATTATGTTGGCTATTTTAGGCCATCACAGATGGATATTCTTCCATAGTAAGGATTTGTAACCTCGATATGCGAGGACTGTGGATTTTGGATCAGTGTAGGGGAGTGCAGGAAGCGAAAAACAAACCATTACTGTCAACTAAATCAAACAGAACACGAATAGATTTCTTATAAATTACATAATGCAGCTTGTAATTTTTCTTGGATGTTGACCCTTAGTTTACTGTTTACAGAATGGTTTACAGTTGTCACCCAATTTTAATTACTACACTTGGTGGAGGAAAGGAAAAGGTTGAACATAATAAAAAACTAAATACATAGTAATAACATCTCCAAACCCTAATGCTTTTGCCAATCATCATTTTGAAGTTGCCTTACAGAAGTGAACTGAACAAAGAAGGTGATGGAATGAACATATATAGCACCTGCTGTGACCGGAACACCTTTCTCCAGAGGATCCTGAGATTATTTCTGGATTTTGGGAGGCGAGAGTTCTTTGCCTAATTGATGGAACTTTGTCTCCTTATGTCTGCTGTGGGTTGTGGAAATAACAGACAGCATGGAAAAGTTCTGTCTAAGTCAAGCAAAAATGGTTGTCCCCTGGATGACATTTAAACTTTATTCTCTGGGATTGTCATAATCTCCTTATTGTACATTGCTGTACAAAACTAATCATGCATTTATCATTAATGATACATGCTAAAGTGCATTTTTCTTTATTAGGCTTACCCCTAGCATTCCATAAGCAGTTTTGTCTTGCAATCTTCCACCATACTCTTGACACCAAACTTTATAACTGAGAATACAATGATAATAACATTTCTGTTTCTGAAAAATTCTCTCCCATCGACTGTTTAGAAGCTTTTAGTGCTTAAGTATTGACTGACATTTCTGATGGGTCGCTTTAATCTCAGCTGACACTCAAACACCCTTTTATAGGTTCAGCTTCAACTGACACTTGAGCTGCTTTAAGTGCCTCAATTTGGAATGTCTCTCCCACTCAGTTTCATGCAGACATCTATAATTTTATGGCATTTATACCTGCAGAGTCAGAGGCAGCTGTGTTCTAGATACCACAGATTAATAAAATATGAAAGGGAAGCTCATGACTGAACACTACAAAGTAAAATGGCATGTAGCACATCATTAGCAAATATATCCAGTTATATATATTCTTATATTCAGAATAAATACAGTCACAGTATAACAAATTCTAACAAAATCACTGAAAGTATTTGGTGCAGGTCACATATCCTCAAAGTGAATATTAAAAGCACCAGGACTTCCAATCCGAAGCCTTTTTCTGTGATTGTGCAGGTTCTGCAATTCAGACCTTTCTGGTTTAAAACCAATCTAGATTGCTTGTATCCCAGCGGGTAGAATACTTTAATACTTAATTTTCTTCTACCCTTTTCTATCAGAATGCAGTCACCCACCAGTCTAATCCCCTTAGCATTTAAAGCTTCATTTAGCGAAATAACTCATGACCTAAAAGCAGTATGAGGCTAGGCCACTCTGTACTGCGAAGCTGTTTGTATCTTTAAGAGGGGATTTCTTGCTCTGAAAGAGATTACGTGTGTCTACGTTTTGGGACTCTGTAATATCAGACTACAATATCATCCATGAGAATGCACGTTCTGCATTGAATCAGCCTTTTTATATTTTACTAAGAATTGCTGTTCTGTGTAAATAAACTGGGCAATATGAACAGTTTTTTGGACTTTATTATGAAATCACCAGTGGTACATTTCTTTTCTCTACAGAACATTTTAGTAAGTGTTAAATTGAAAGTCACATTTAAAGAGCTTCAGCAGCTTTAGTGCATTGGACTTGACATTTTATCAACATATTAATACTGCTATCTTATATTGAAGGGTGTGCTCTGCAGGCACTCCTCATTTTGTAGAGATTTATTTTCACTCGGGACATTTTCCTCCAGCAATCGTTGTTTAAAAGCATGTGATTCATTATTATAAAAGATTAATAAATGGAAAAGAACAGTGGCGGCGACTGCTTTATATAGAAGTGGTACGAAATCAACACTGATTTCATCTGTTTGGACAATAGAGATAAGCTCCTCTGCCTTCAGCTCAGCAAGCAGACTCAGAGGATTGGTCTGAGTCAAATCTCTGCTTCCCAGCACACTGGCAAACATTCCTCCTCCTCTGTGACTAAGAACAGAAGAGCAAACAGAGGTTATTTGACTTTCACCCTAATGTCACCTGGAAAGGTCATGACGCAAGATAAAAGAGAATCCGTGTTTCCTCAGAGGAATAACTTTGGTAAAGTACACAAAGATTTACCTATTTATAAATTTCGTTATAGTTGTTATGGTACACAATGATTAGTGCTTTATATTTTCCACATTTTCCTGAGTGGTGTACAGTGAGGCACAAGGACTGATTGAAGGACCACAGGGCATTTTATTTGGCAGTGTTCTTAAGTGCTTTCAGTCACGAGATAGGCTGGTAATCTTGCAGGGTGAGGGGGGGGGGGCGAGTGCAGTGTTTCCACAAACTGGCACGTTTATTAAACACGCTGCAGTTTGCAGCCCAGGCTACCTCTCATTTGATCAAATAAAGCTGAAGTCTGCAGTGTGTACACTTTTGTACTCTGGACATGTTAGGGTGACAATAAAATTGCTTACATTAAACTTTTTACACATTTGCATGGTTTAATCCAATGCATCATGCACTCCTCTACATTCTTCCTGCTCACACAGTTTTATATCCACATATGCTGCATTAACCTGTTGGAAAATGTGCTTTATCATGAATTTACATTATATAAGATCTACTCATTTAAGACCTGTCCTAACCTTCTGAGTGTGTTGTGGCATCAGATAAAGATCATTATATAACTATTGCAGTGTGGCGGTAATTTCATCCTGAATCTACGTGTGCACAGTCCAATCACTGGTCCTGCAGGGGCCTGCTTGGCTTATCTCTTCTCTATTACAGAAACACATCAAATATTCAGCAGGTAGAAGTAGAGCTCATTACTTGCTCCCTGACAGCCTGACGGGCACTGTTACTGCAGTCGACTCATGGAAAATAACACCTTCTTTACTCTTCCTCTGTTTGGTTAGCCTTCTCTAATCTTTTTCTGGATGGATTTTTCTCTCTCGCAGCTTCAATTAATTTTTAATGTCTGTTCATTGTAGATGAGCACACAGTGACCTTTAGTATTGCTTTAACAAATAACCA